ACCAACATATATATATATATATATATATATATATATATATATATATATATATATATATATATATATATATATATATATTCAATAAAACACATCTTTAAATAATTCAATTTTACACTTAGATTAAAAATTAATTAAAAAGTCTCTAGCAATTGTTGCGTATTGGCCTCGCTTGTAATCATTCGGTAACGTTAAGCTACCTACCTATAATACATAGGGGCGCGTCTACAAGTTTTGCCCGACTGTCAAAAATGCTAAGGCCGGCGCTGCTTCATGTTTCAATAACATTTTAGAAAAATATCCAAAGTAAATTTTTGAATAACTATAATATAACAGAATCAATAAAAGAACTGACCAATCAGTTTGAGGCTCGTAAATAATTACAAAATTTTTAGTTTTTCTTTGGCCCGGAGAAACGATGCCGATTTTTGAATAGCTCCCGGTGCTTGAGACACGGCGTGTGAGGCTGCTCTCATCATCTCTTGGCTTGTATTTGTCAATTAAGTATTTGCCGAGCTTGTTGCAGAACGGTTGTGATATAACGGTTGATATTTTTTTTGGTTCTGCTGGGTATTTGAATAAATAGGTTTGTTTGTAAGTTCTTCTGAATCTGGGTTGTGCTTGGCAGTTTCCTTTAATTGTTCTCCGCCAAGGTCGTCTGAACCAAATCTTCTTTTTAAAAAATTGACACCAGAAGAAAATTGTCTTTGAAAGTTGTGTAAGACATTAGAGAATAGTTTAATTTTGTAAAAAATGATCAAAGTTGATAATTTTGCAAATAAAGCAATTTTCATTCAAAAGTTTAGATAGAAATTGTATACTATTAATATTGTTATCGTTACATCAGAGTATATATAGGGAAAAAAGAAGAATGAAATGAACATGAACAGGAACCGCAAGATCTATGCGTTAAAACAAGCAATGCGTAATATATATATATATATATATATATATATATATATATATATATATATATATATATATATACATATATATATATATATATATATATATATATATACATATATATATATATATATATATATATGCGTGTGTGTGTGCGTGCGCGTGTGTGCGTGTAAGAACAGTAGGTCTACAAGAAAATATAAAACGACTGAATTGAATGGTTCTTAATATAATACACACACAACACACATACATAAATATTTATATATAATATAAAAAACGGTATGCTCAAATAATATTAATTAAATATCTACATTTTAAGCTATTTTTTAAACTTTCAGATAATAATTCAATAAGTATGTAGAAACAAAACATGCAACGCTTGCAGTCACTTGGTGTCTACAAAAATCAATACTTGAACCACTTGAACGAAAGCGAATATACGCGCATAAAATTATTTTAGGTAATAAATTTTCGCAAAATGATTTTAAACAATTTCAAAATATTTTTTAGTTGGCGTAATATTAAACAACATAAATTTTAAAATCTGTTTAATTATCATAATGATCTTTTTTGATTTTCTTAGCAAAAGTTTAAAAAATATTCAATGCAAAAAAGAGATAATTTTTGTTGAGCATCAATATTTTTGTTCACAATTTTGTTTAATCGTTATCACTAAATGCGTTTTATTTCTAATAGAATTTAAAGCGTGAAATCTTTTTTTAGCATTTATTGCTATCATCAGTTTATCTAGAATCTTTTGTCCTGGTTGAACATAGTTTTCAATAAGGTAAATGTATATATAAAAAGAATAAGTTACGCTGCGTCTTTATATTTGTTTGTCCGTTTGCTTTGTTTTTTATCTGTTTGTTCTTGTTTTTTTATTTCATTGTTTGTTTATTTGATCTCAATGCATATTTCGTATCGATTTTTGTCTTTCTGCGCTAACCCTCGTTCTAAGTAATTCTGTTCCCGTTCCACCAAACACATCTTGTAACAGAACCGATGGCTAATATAAATTTTCCAACCACTTCGTTACATGATTATGTCTTTCTGATCCAATGACCTATTGTGTAGCTGTATTTTGAATACGCTGAGCCTTTTTAATCACACCAGCATCATAAATCATAAAGTTACAATAGTCCAATCTAGATAAAACAAGCGATATCACCAAGTTCGTGATAACGCGGAAAAAATTTATTGATTAGGCTTAATTTTTGCAGCTGTGGAAAGTAAGTAGACACGAGTTTCACCGGGAAGCTATTTACTGGATCCAACCGGATTAGTTCTTTTTTGTTTGGATTTGATTCAAGCGATTTAACTCCAACCAGTTATTTATTTTTTCAAGCATCTTTTCAACCCTAATAAAAAAATTAGAATAAAATAGATAATTGTTATTGTTTTAACAATTTTCAAGTTAAAAAATTTTATCTCCTGCATAAACTAAATCAGCTATGTATAAAATATCTATGCAATCAACATGAATTATTTTTAAAATACGGTTTTTAAAACAACCATAAAGCCATTGTTAGGCTAAGACTCGGAACGCGAAGCTATACAATGGAATATCTCACAGCTGCTACGCAGCCGATTATGATTTTATTTATATAACATTTATGTATTATCAAGATGGTAAAATAAAATTTTCAAGTTATAACACGATTTAATTCAAATGATCAAAATCAAATATATATTTTTAATAGTTAATTCTATTATAATTATTGTGAATATTAATTACTATTGCGCCAAATTTGTAAATTTTGAAAATAATCGTTTATTTGTGTCAAAACATGTGAGAAAATATAAACTTTTGGACCATGACAACAATTGGGGAAACGTCATCAGTGAGCATCTTTTAACTCGAAATACTAAAAAATACTTTATTCCATTCAGAAAGTCTGTGAATGTTTCTTCCGAGGAGTTTTACATACAAAATGACAAAAAGAGGATAGATTTTTTCTTTAAAGAAACATCAATTTTCAACATTAGACACAATTCTGATCAGTTAATTACTGCAACAAATAAATTTGTAAATTGCAAACTTATTTTGAATGGTAATAAGGATGAAATCAATAAAGCCAAGAAAATTATGGTTAACTTACCGAAAATTCCGATTTTTGAAGAAGCGTATTTAGAATGGACCAAAAATTGTTCACAGTTCAAGCATGATCGGGGTTACATTAACACCGCATTATCAGATGAAGAAGAAAATTTTCCTCTAGCTTTTAGGTGTCATTGTTTTTTTTTATTAATACAATTAACTATAAAAATTTATATTTATAAAATGTATTTCAACAGTATATCATCATATACAGATATTGAACAAACTGAACGACTTTTACGAGCTATTTACCATCCACAAAATCTCTATTGCATCCACATTGACATCAAATCTTCCTTTTTGTTCCACAACGCTGTTAGGTCAATTGCTAACTGTTTTCCAAATGTGTGGATCGCAACAAAATTGCATAAAATAAAATGGGGAGACATTAGTGTTATTTTACCAGAAATCAGTTGCATGAGAGATCTCTTAAAATACTTTAAAGGAAAATATAAATATTTTATAAATCTTACCGGTCAAGAATTTCCATTAAGAACCAATTTTGAATTAGTTAAAATTTTAAAAATTTTCAATGGATCAAACGATATTACAGGGTCTCAGTTGAAGTCAGTAAATAATTTATTTAAACATTATTAAGGCTTTTTATCTCGTTTCAATCAAAATAACAATTTCAAATGTTCGTTGCAAAGAATGGATGTGGAGCGCGTAAACTATGTGTGGAAACATCGGTGGAGTAAAACCTACCAGCAGACAGTTCTTTATAAAACTCAGCAAAAAAAGAAACCTTACGAATTTCTCAATTTGACGTTTTACAAAGGAGAAACGCACGGACTATTCGCGAGCAAAATGACTGAATTCATTATAGAAAGTAAAGAAGGTAAAACATTTTTTGATTGGTGCAAAGACACTGGACACGCATCAGAACATTATTGGAACACTTTGAACTATAATAAATTATTTAGAGCTCCAGGTGGGTACGAAGGTATGCAATTTAGATGATTTGTTCATTTAATAATTTTCACTCACTTATTTCAAAATTAAATAAATTTCAATTTGAAGGAGATCCATTAATAGCTGATCAGTATTCAGTTCATCCAATAATACGAGCTAAAAATTGGGTAAATGTGAATAATTATCAGTGGCCGTGCAATGGGAAAGTAGTTCGTGGTATCTGCATTTTCGGAATAGAGGATGTACCTTGGTTGTCTAAACGCCCTGAATTATTTGTCAACAAATTTCATCTTACGTATGACTATCTAGGATACGATTGTCTTGAGGAAATTCACAGAAATAATACACTTACCGGAAACAATTATTTTTTTGAAGAAAATTTTTATAAAAGCCTGCCAACTGTAAAATACAGTCGAAAAAATGGTTTTTAAACAACAAACATTTGGTCATCTTGAATATATATATATATATATATATATATATATATATATATATATATATAGAGTTATTTCCTTCAATTAATTATTGTTTGTCACTAACATACTGCTTCACAATTTTTTCTAATTTATATGTTTTCTATAAACATTTTAATACATATTCAGATATACTGTACAGTTTATAAATTTATGTCAAAGGTATTCTATAAATTCTATAAAATTGTGTCGATGGTTGGTGTTATTTTTTTCAAACGAAATTTGTACGTCCAATATGCAACAGATCAACGCACGAATAAAACGAACACTTATCTGACATTAAAATAATTGCCAACATAAATCTCATTATTTCACAATAACTAAAGATATTTTATAGTAATAAAATTAAGATAAAAATTCAGTTATCCGAAAAAAATGGCGTAAAGATAGCCTAGCTGAGCTAAAAAGCCGGAAATTTGCACAACAACAACAATGTTATCTAACGAAAAAGTTTTGGCTTTCCGCTCAGGGCTGTTATATTTTAATCATTTAAATAAAGCCAAACAGCCAGTTTAGTTATATATAATCATTTGGTAAAAAAAGTTTGCAACTACGTGGGGTATAGTGTTCAACAACATTTGTTTTAGTGATAACCATAATTGTATAAATGAATAATATAATATATAATATATGTAATATACGTATTATAAGTATATATTCATATATATATATATATATATATATATATATATATATATATATATATATATATATCAAATTTATATAGATTTGTTCAATTCATATGGATTTTTTATCATGCCTTTGCTGATGACATTAAGATATTGGTTACCGTCTAGAAATGAAATCGACAGATATAATGAATGCATGACGGAGATTGGTCATTGAATGTCAAATAACTCATTAAAATTAAACCAATGCAAAACGCAGTTGCTTCCTGTTCGGACGTGACAGCAGTTGATAAAGGTGAACATTAATGCTATCAAAATAGGAGATGTCAAATATCAATCAGTACAACAGCTTCCAATCTTGGGGTTCTTGTTGACAGCAAACTGTCCATGAAGGACCACATCAAAATGATATCTAAGGCACCTAAGAAATTTATATCGAGTTAGATATTTGTTAGACAGACCAACAATGGAGGGTTTAGTCCATGCTTTCATATCAACACGGCTGGATTATTTTAATAGCTTGTTTTATGATCTGCCTATAAGTTCAATTGCGATTCTTCAGTCTGTTCAAAATAGGGCTGCAAAACTCGTATCCGGTAAATTAAAATTTGACCGTGTGAAACCAATTTTAAATGAACTGAAACGGCTGAAGGTTGAGAAAAGAATTATTTTTAAGATCGGGTAATCGTAAACAGATCGTTAAATGGTTTGTCATCAAGATATATCTCAGTCAAGTTTTCTAAAAAAGAGCCAGCTCCAAATTCGTATCTACGATCGGATAATAAGAATTTGCTGGTTGTTCCGTTAAGACGATAGAGGTTTGCTTCGAGAGATATTGCTGTTGCTGGTCAGACCATCTGGAACAGCCTACCGGCATCAATGAGAAGACCTTGAATTTGTCTTTCTTTGTTCAAAAAAGAATTGAAAACTTTTTTATTTTTCGCTTGAATATGTTTGTTCTTTTATATATTTAGTTTATGCACAGTAACAACATAGTTTTCAGTATTACTATAGTATATTGTGCATGCTTATTTATTTATTAGTGACAATTACGGACAGTATAATTTTGTTAAATTATTTTGATAGCGCCTTTGGAAGGTTTTAATTGGCGCTATATAAAATTTTCTCTATAATATTAGTATATATATATAATTATTTTATTATTTATAGCACACAACCCATACAGTACAGTGCACTGCAGTTGATGAGTTGTAGCAAGGCGGGGCAAACACTCGCTTACATTCTTCTCGCTCCTGTATGCAGGTAATAGCTCATATTTTATTTTATTTCATTTCAAATTTATAACTGAAAATTGTATTTTAATTATATTCTACTATGGCTACACTGATAAATTATAAAACAAATTGAATGTTAGCTCTTAGCTCGTTTTAACGTTAAATTTCAGTTAGAAATCGAAAATTTTTACCAGGAGAACAATTTGCTGACATAAGCAAAACTTTATTTTAAGAAAATTAAAAAGAATTACACTGACATCTGGAACTTCGTAGAAGTAATAGATTTCTGTAAATTATAATTTTAAAAATATTTGTCAAGTAAATAAAATGAATAATACCGAACACTAATTTGTTTGAAATTAATTATTAAATAAAATATTAGCTAATGGCTGATCCTTTTTAAGTTTTTTGCTTTGCATTTGAGCCAGAGAAACCACATTGATTAACTGAGAATACGTAAAATGTTTGCAGTCGTTTCGTTTGACAAACAATGTTAGTAGATAAAATGAACGGAATAACAATAACATAGTCATAAACGATGGTGCGTGAAGTTAGGCTTGCAGACTAAACAGCCAAAAATATGTGTTGTTTGAACAGCAGGCAGAATTGATGTTCAATTCTAAAAATCTATCGATGATAAATCATTTAAATTTTTACCAGAGGATCATTAACGTTCTTAGAATTTGCTATGAAAAAATTGTAAATTTTACTATGTTTACTTTTTTTGCCAGTTATTATATTCAAAAAAAAATTTGGTTATAAATTTTAAGAAGTCTACTAACCATAATTAACCCACATTTTTGCAAGAGATTCGTCATCGTATTATCAATTTATATGGTACAATTCATATTGTTACAATATTTAGTTTATTGTCTATCATTTTTTTTCATTTTAAAGACAAAATTCTTATAAAAGTATTGTGATATAAAAATCTGCCGATCATATAATTTATATTATACTTTCGTCACAACAATCTCATTCTGTAATGTAAAAAGAATAATGTCACAATATTTAGTTTATTTTTTTATGATTCTTCATTTTCTTTTTACAAAAAAATAAACTAATAGCATTTTCACCTTCTAAGTATTTAAAAAATCTACCAATTGTATAATTTTCTATTTTTACTAAAGATCCATCAATGGAAAATTAATCAGGGTTGTAAAAATAATAAAACAGTGTTTAGTTTATTTTTTATAATTTTATTTCGTTTTTCACAAAAAAAATCATGTGCTACTAGCGTTTTAAATATTTCCCAACAATTTATCAATAAAATGTTAATTTGCATTGTGCACAAAATTATACTGTAACGGCGACCGTTATTGTATTATTTTTACATGTGGATTAACATTCCATTAATAAAGTTTTGATGAAAATTAGATAACGCAAACGGAAAATTCTTTTTAATTATTTAAAAGTCCTATCAGCATATTTATTGAGCAAAACAAAAAAAAATGATAAAACTAAACACCGTGACAATATCATTATAAGGACACAGATTAACGTATCATTGATGAATTTTTAGTGAAAATTATAAAAATTAAGCGATTGGTAGATCGTTAAATTTTTTAAATAATAACAAACTCTATAAGCATATTTTTTGGTTACAAACAAATAACGAATCGTTGAAAAAAGCAAAACGCAATAATATTTTACAACACAAATTTAGATTGTAATGATAAATTCTTAATGTAAGTTGATAAATTGTATGGGCGGTTGATTTTATTTTACATCAATACTTTTATATGACCTTATTTAGTATCTTTCTGGGACAGCCGTTTGTTTGAATAAACGAGTTTCTTGACCCAAAGGCCAAAATATATAAAATACAGATAACACTGATTTCGCCATTCCTTTTTTGGCTCCGCCTGCCTTCATCTTAATCCATCTCTGGTCTTGTCTTACAGGCATAGCTCAGTTATAACTTGCTTTGTACGACTGTTAACACTAAAAACTATGTATTACATTTTGGTTTATACCCAAAAATGAAAATAAAAAATAATTGATCTTGTCTAATTTAAAAAATTTTTTTGTTTCAGTATGGACGAAAACAGTTTAGAAGATTTTTCACTAGACAATTATGACTGGGAAAATTGGCCTCCGTGTATAGAAAATGATGTCCCAGCTGATGATTCATTCCATTTTACATTTACTGATGAGTTACTATTTCAAAATGCTTCCGAGCTATCATCCAGCAACGAATATTCTGCTTCGTCATTCGAATCAAATAGTTCAACCTGTTTTTTTTCTAGTGCTCGTGATTATGAAAACATTGACAATCATCAATATATTTATTCGACTGAACAGAAGACGCTTTCTTGTTCTTCTTCCCAAAAACATGTTAATATTTCATCAGAGCAACTAGCTAAACTAAAATTTAAAGAACTCAAACGATTATTTAAAAGTTTGCCAGAAACCAAAGTTCAAGAATTGAAAAAGAAGAGAAGGCAATTAAAAAATCGAAATTATGCAAAAACATGTAGACACAAAAAGATAACAAAAAATGTCAGTTTGGAGGAAGAAGTAAAAATGTTACGTCAAGAGAGAATACATTATGTTAACGAAATATCCAAGTATAAAGAAGAAATAAAACTTCTGAAGATGAAGCTGGAGATCACCGACAGGGCTTTATGAATTATTTATTTTTAATTTTGTCTTTTTCTACTTGTTGACATCTGCTTTATTTATAATTTGTGCATTGTATTGTTTATGTTTTTTATTAAAATAAAAAATGGTGTGGATAGGAGCAGCTGTAGGGGAGGAGGAGGCTGCATTAAAAATAAATTTTTGTAACTGATAATTTCATTTTTTAAGAATTGTTATAAATTAACAGTATTATTTACATATATATATATATATATATATATATATATATATATATATATATATATATATAATTTATGTACACAAACCTCTTAGCTATTTATTTTTACACTTGCACTATTTTTCAACCTGTCAGTATTTATACAACTGACAACATACTGTGATAATCTTATAGCTTTTTATTCAACTGTGATAATCAATGCATTATTTCATGTATATTTATATATAAAAACTTGTTTTGCTGTGATATTGGAACATTGCAAACTTTTTGAATAATTTCTACTAAATGATTTGATCTAAGTCTTACAGCAGGTGGATCAGTGCAATACGAATTGTCAACCCATAACCTAACCGATAAAGGTAGCTACATTTAAGCATTTCTTTAATTAGTTGATACGTTTGCGTAAATGAACTAAATATGAATTAATGTTGCAATAACATACCAATTAACTTTTATATTCAGGATATGGGGCAGTTCTCAACACCAAATGTTTTTATTTATTATTTTTAAATTTATGAATAAAATGATTGATAAAAAATCTCGTGTCATTTATTTGAAATTATATTTAAAAACAAACGGTAGGCCAGGTCAAAGTTATTTTTTCCATAAATAACTGTATTTGTTTACATCGAAAGAGTCCAAGATTTCATTTTCGCTCATAACTGTTAATTTAGGTTTTCTTTTAGATTGCCTGGCTAATTTCTCCTTTTCTGACAATGTTGACAAATCTAACGGCAACTGAAAAAATATTTCAAAGCTCTAGTTAGAAAAATTGTATTTGTAACTAAATAAAAAAAAGCAAAGCTAACCTGAATAATTCTTCTTGGCTCTTTATACCTTAATGTAACCATTGAACCGTTTGGATAAATCAAGAGAGTTGGGTAGACCTCAACATAAACTTTTCGGTTCAATCTGGAAACTGCGGCTTTGTGAGAGTTAGATCTGCTTCTTCATATTTAAATAATAAATTTAAGTGATAGCCATTTTAATATATTGAGAAAGTTGGTAAATGCTATATCTTAGTATGGTTGAAAGTTTTGATGCTTGAAAAACTTGTTACAACGCAAGGGATAAGCCGGTTCAGAAAAATTGGATTTTCATAAGTATTTTTAGATAAGCATAGCGCTGCCAGGAAGTATCATCTATAAAATTCTTTTTTTTAATTTTATCTAGAAATTTGTCGTGAATAAGAATTAAAAAGCATGTTTGTTTTCGACCCTACCAACTTTGAGGCTTGTAAGTAAGTTTGAAAACAATGTAGATCGTGACGCTTCAACATCAAGGCTGTACAGACTGAAGTGCGAGAAAAGTATTTAGTGAAGAATAGATCTCAATTTAATTTAACAATCTAATATGATATATATAATATAAAACTCATCTTAAATTTAAATCCCGCTGAACAGAAAACATATGTTTAAATTATGGCTGTACCGGCCGAAATTTGACTCTTTTTCCTAATTCTGTCCAAATCCGGCTATGGCCAGAAATTAAACCATATTTCAGATTTGTGCCAAAATATTTTATCAAAATTAATTATGTATGTATCTCTAATTATGTGTGTATATCTGTACCTACGCCTGTATGTAGGCATATACACATGGTTCGTTCACATGTGAGGATGTATTAAGTGGCAATAATATTACCTCCTGAACACCTATCAATCACTCGCACAAATCAATTAAAAATATTAGGTATCACATTCACCTTCATACTCAATAAAGCACCTCATATCAATCACATCATCAAAAAAGGCTTTCGAACATTTCACGCACCGTTCTCATGGTCTCAGGCATCAAATTATTCGACACGACATCACTGAATCACTCATCATTTCACGCATCAAATATGCAGCTCCCTCCTGGTCTGGTTTTGCAACACAACAACTTCAGCAACTACAATCTCTCATCAAAAAACTAATTCGCTTCAACTATCTACCTGCATCATATCTTACTGTCACTCAGATATTCAACACACTCGATTCAAGGCTGTTCAAGAAAGTAGAAAATAACAACCACGTCATCCATCCTCTACTAACACCAATTAAAACTACAACACACAACCTTCGTCAGCGCAAACATAACTAAAGTCATAACTAAACATAACTAAAACATAAACATAAGTCGTCGCCCAATCTACATACCAGGAAAAGACTTTCATCACAAGACACCTCAAACATATTAATACTCACTAAAACTTTATCATTACAGAACTAGTTTTTATTTATCGATCACCTCACTAACCTACCATCAAACATATTAATACTCATTAAAACTTTATCATTCACAAATCTAGCTTTTATTTATCGATCACCTCACTAAGTCATCATCTAGTCTATTAATTTGCCGTTACTTCATTTTATACTTCATTGTCAATTACTTTTCTTTTATTTATTTTATTATTATTTATTTTATTCTAACTTATTATATTTTTCATGTTTTAACATTTTCTTCCTCACTTTTTGTATTTATTTACTCACTTATTTGTTTAATTTTGTACTACTGCCTTGCATGTTGTTACAGTTTCGGCGTCTGTCAGACCTAATTTTTAAAAAATAAAAAAAGTGTATATTAATCAATAAGCGTATTGTATTTATGAAAAATGATCTGAAACGAGAATTGCGGTTGTATCGCTTAAACCATATGATTGATATGACTAGAGCGTATTTACTGTTAAGTTGCCGAACCAATTTCAAAAAAATTTTAAATTTCAAAACATGTTAACACGTATATTGTATAATCACACATTATAAATCTATCTATATTAAATCTACTATAAACGTACGTTTTCATGTATATTTGTTTCTATCTGTATGTTTGCATTTGTTAATTGTATCAACTTGCATACATCGATGAAGAGTATTCAAGTATTAATTCAATTTGCATTGAAAATAAACCAATTTGTTAGATTGATAGGGATGTAATATAACCGAGTTTTATGCGTTAGCCCAGTCGGTAGTCTAGAGGTGCCATGTCTCGGGCAGTTATTACGGGACTGCCTGGTTCAAATGCTCTGTCTGAAGCTCAAAGACTATCATGCAATATGCGCGTGAAATATAGTGCTGCTTGTGCATACGAAATCCGTGTGGTGTAGGTAGTACGAACTTTATGGCAGAAAAGTTTAACTATTAGTATAGAATGATATGTAAGCTACTGTGCTTATATCTGAACTGCATAATAAAACGAAATAAATGGAATATTTGTATACATTAGTATCCGCTAAAATTAACAGAGAAATTCTAATTTAATTAGTAAATAATTAAAGTTAATTTATTAGGTTAATGACAGGGATGTAATATAACAAATTTTATGTCTGTACAACAAGAGTAGGCTAGCTATTAGCTAATGAAGCCACAGACACGATTACAGCATAAAATGTAACCAATGCATAAATCTGGCTTTGGTCGTCATTGTGCCTGTGAAGCCGGCTGGAACAGTCAAATCAAGTACAGCTCTAGTTATAACATAACATAACAAATGTTGATAATGATTCAAGAAGACCAAGCCTATGATAGAACCACATTGAGATACTTGTATTTAATCTTTGCTAAATGTATTCTGAAATTATGGGTGAATTCATTCCTAATCATATCTTCATTCAATTTGTTCCACTCATTAACGATTAAGTTGCTCAAATTTTTTGTTTTATTGCTCCTGTGCTTCTTATGAATGTTTTATATTCATGTCCCCTTATTCATTTAGCATATCTTTACTTCATTTAATCATTCTTGCTTGTCTTTTTTTTGAAATTTTTGAAGATATCGTCTTTTTTGTAATTTTATATTTTAAAGCTTAACAACTATATTTTCTGCAATTTAGTTTTCTTTTATATCATTTTTAGAATCTTATTCGAAATCTAAGTTGTTTTTTCCCAATGAATTTTCACACTGATGAAAAATCACTCCAAGATTATTTTTCCCTTTACTTGTCTTAATGAATATTACCAAGTTTCATTATACTGTTACTGTTGCATGATTCAATTACATAGGCAAGACTGCACATTTATTCAATACAATAAAACTTTTATTGACATTAAGCATCATTTGATGATGTTCATCCCTCACATAGTTGAAAAAGCATTTACTGTTAAATTTGATGTATTGGGTAGGTTTCTTCTAATAGTTTTTAATGGCATCCCTTTAGTTTAGCACAAATAGATTCCTGTTTTAGTTTGTCTAAATTTGTTTTCTAGCTACTGCATTAGCACCAATATTTCTGTCTTTGTAGTTTATTAATATTGTATTTTTTATACTTTTTAATTTTTATTTATTTACATACCTTATTAAAAATAAACAACCCAGTTCCAAGGAAAGGAAAAGTCATAAAAAAATAAAAAATTAATAAAAATCATAAAACTATTTATTTAATAATTTATTAAAATGGAATCTGCTAAAACTTAAAAAAAGAAAAACCATTTCTGACTGACATTAGAGATAAGCACGAAAAGCAAATATCCTTTTTCATAAACGAAATTAAGCAATTCATAGTTTAACTTAAGGTAAAGTACAGGGCTTAAACTTAATAAAAAGTTAGTTGACATCAAAAAACATATTTTTTATGTGAATCAGAATGTGAACTTAGCCATGACGACCGACCTATATAATATTAAAGGAGAGATCGTGAAAAAGAAGCATGCTCCAGCTCAACGCGAGGCAGTTCTATGTGCTTAATTGAATTTATAATATATATATATATATATATATATGTATATATATATATATATTTATATATATATATATAGATTAGTTAAAAAATAGAGCCTATATTGACTGTTTAACAAAGCATTGTCATCATAGAAATAGAAAAGTTGCCCATATTCATGATTAGAATGTGTGTTAGGTTTTTTATTTATATATTTCAGTGACGTAAATGTGAGTAAATAAGCTGATTTATAAATATACAAATTAAAAAGAGTTAATGTTTATTACACTTCTAAATTCAGATAAATCAACAACACAAAAACAGCTTATGTTAACGTTTAGCGTGATGGCGGCACGTTTTCTCGGTGGTTTTGTAATTTGAGTGGTTTCTTATTTTTTGCTTCTGAACAAGTGAGTTCTCTTCTTTTTTACTATGACTATTTTTTTCTATATCTCTCTATATCTTTTTCTTTAACTTGTAAATATTATTATGTCTTATTCTAGAGACTTTCTCTTAAGCCTCTCTAACACTTCTTTGTCTCTGACAAGAGTAGTTCGGCGGCGAATTTTTTACTTTAATCTTAGGTCTAATAATAACAATAAAAACAATAAATCTAACTCTAACAAAAATATAAATATAGTTAGTAACAATAATTATATTAATAATAATACTAATAGCAAGTATAATAAGAATAACTTTATTAAATCCCACTCTAATGTAATTAATACTAACGATAAGAATAATAATTCTAATTCTATTAGTTTAAATAATATAACTAAATTTAGAAGTACCAATATCCAACCTACCTCTACATTTTCACTATTTAATATTAACATAAGATCAATTAATAAAAAATCGCTCTATATCCATCAAATAATCTCTTCCTCCTTACCTGATTTTTTTACTCTTACTGAAACTTGGCACGAGGACTCTAACTCTCCCTCTCTTATTCTTGCTACTCCTGATGGTTACAGCTTCCTTGAACTCTCTAGACCTCCAAAAAATCTTCTATCATCTTTTCATTCTTCTTATGGGGGTATCTGTCTATTTTATAAATCTCTATTTACTGCTTCCATTAATACTTCCTTTAATTTTTCTTCTTTTGAATGTCTTGCTGTATCTCTTAAGTCTTCTTCTCTATCTTTTTATATTGCTGTAATCTATCGCCCTCCTTCTTCTTCACTCACTTTATTTTTAGACGAATTCTACTCACTCGCTGAATCTCTCTACTCTTTTTCTATTCCTTTCTACATCTCTGGTGATTTCAACTTGCACTTCAATAATTTATCATGTTCTTACAC